GATTTATTTAAAATTTATATTTTTAATTTTTAATCTCATCAAATGTATACCTTCGAATTATATTTAATATATAAATCTACACCTTATTTCAGTCAATAATTAATTTTGACATTTAAAACGACTAAATTATCTTTAAAAAAAAAGGAAAAAGAAAACTAAGGCCCCGTTCACTTCGCTGATTCGAGTTTAGAATTCGAGTTTTTCTACAGTAAAAAGCTCTCACAAACAATCGCATTTAACTTTTTTGCTACAGTAAAAAGCTCTCACAAACAATCACATCTTAACTCAAATTCTAAATTCGAATTAGCGAAGTGAACGAGGCCTAAAACTTTTCAATATCACAAAAAATAAAATTAAAAAAAATAATTACAATGGTATTTTGTATATTTTTTTAGAGAAAAACCAAGTCTATATTTTTTTATTTTTTTTTCTTTTCCTATCTTTTTATTCAAGTGTATTTTAGATATTTTTAGAGTTAAAATCGAGGATTGACTATGCTAAGGTATACATTTAGATATTAAATTTAATTTAAAAATATGCATTTAATGAGATAAAAAATTAAAAACGTATTTTTGAATAAACCTAAAATATAGGACATAAGAAGGTAAATATCCCATAATTTTGTGTTGTTGGTCAACAAATATTCACATTAAGAATTGATGATTTTTTTGTTTATGTAATTTGCAAAACATGAGAGAGAGACTTCCCTCTTTTACAAAGAAATAAAAAATAGCGCAAACTTTCATTTTGATAAATCATAGGGGTATGTTTGTAATTATGTGCAGCTTTTAGGACCCAATAAAATTAAGTCATAACACCACCGTCGCTTTACCACCAGTAAAAAAATAAAAGGCCCTTTAAAATTCGCAAAACCCCGCTTTTGGGCGACTCTAGGGTTTTAGAATTCCGACGCAGAAATCAGAATCAGTGAGTGGGAAATGGAGAACGAAAATGGCGTCGCCGAACATGAGACGAAGAAGCACAAAGGGAAGCACGACAAGCCGAAGCCTTGGGACGAAGACCCAAACATCGATCGCTGGAAGGTCGAGAAGTTCGATCCCTCATGGAACGGGGGTGGAATGCTCGAAGTCTCTTCCTTTTCCACTCTCTTCCCCGAGTATCGAGGTACTTATCCCCAAATTCACGGTCTTTAATCGACTTGTTTGTTTCCCGAGAAAGTTTGGTTCAACAAAATCGAATTGGAAGCTTTAGCTAGGGATATAGTTAGGGGTCATTGTTTTTTGAAGCGGGATTTGCAAACAAGACCTATTTTTGCCTTAATAAATCTGTAATTAAATTTTTATTATTTGAGGTCTTATTAATTACATTGCATTTTTCAGAAAAATATTTGCAAGAGGTTTGGCCATCGGTGAAGTCTGCTTTGAAAGAGTATGGCATTTCGTGTGAACTGAATCTGGTAAGAAAAAATTATTATTATACTTTTTTTGTGGAAGTTACTGATTTTTATGAACATGGTCCAGACTTATTAGTTGTTTTTGCATATCGGGTTTAGTGTTGATTGTTAATTCTGTTTTTGAAACGCTGGAAAGTTTGTACGTGCATTGATTTTGTGTTTTGTTTGCTTCTTGTTGGCCAGGTTGCGGGTTCCATGACAGTTTCAACTACTAGAAAGACTAGAGATCCTTATATTATTATGAAGGCTAGGGACCTTATTAAGCTTTTATCAAGAAGTGTGCCTGCTCCTCAGGTACAAATTTCGACATCTTCTTTTCTGGTTTTTTTCCCCATTTTCTTGTGTAGACTTCTGCATTTTTTACCATTGATGTTCTTTTATTTTTTTTATTCATGTGCATTACATTTTTTTCCCTATGCAGGCGATAAAAATACTGAATGATGAAATGCAATGTGACATTATCAAGATTGGGAACCTGGTCCGCAATAAGGTAGCTTACTATTATCAATAGATTTTGTATGTTAATCTTCTTAAAGAGACTTAACATATAATTTCTTTCATAATGTTTTTGGACAAAAATCATTGGATTTTCTGATGGCTGATTGCTCTCTTGATTTCGGCTCTGCATGTGGTGATTATGACCCTTTTTTGTCAAAAAATTTAATGTTAGCTTTTATTTACTGAAATTGTTTCTCATCTCTTTTTATCTTTTCTTTTATGATCATTTCTTGTATCTCCAAAAGGCTAAACTCTAGGAGGTTTTGCTCTTAAGTTTTTTTCTGCTTTAATGACCCGTAGCTGATTTTAGTAAACTTGAATTCTAGGTTACCCTTGCCTACTCAAGGGAAAGTAGAAAGCATAAAACATTCATACCAGATGCTCACTTATTTGGAAAAACCGCGAAACTTATACTAGACTGAGGCACTAATGAAACTGTACTGAGCAGGGAGAAAAAAAGGATAACTGAATAGGTCTGCTGAATCAATGCTTGAGTGTTAAAACAAACTTTTTCTGGCTGTTATTAGTTTTTGAATTCAAAAAATCTCCTAAAAAGTTTAGATATTTCCCACTTTCCTTTGCTATCTTTAGACGAGGCTAGTGAACTTTAAAACGAAAATATTGAGGTTGAGGTTGGACCAATTTTTGCAATGTTTGGTTGAGGTATAGTTCCTTCTCTGAAATGCAAAGATAATTTTATGCAGGAACGATTTGTTAAGCGAAGGCAACATTTGATAGGTCCCAATTCTTCCACTCTAAAGGTACATATGAAATTTTAGCTATTTTCTGAACTATAAAACATAGAAGAATATTCTTTTCTTCTTCTGGGCAAGGTTTCTCTGAAGAACTATGTTGTTAGATTCATTTTAACTCCTTGATCCGGATACTTATTCAAGGCAATTTGTTGAGCTGCAGGCACTTGAAATACTGACTTGCTGCTATATTCTGGTTCAAGTAATTATTTTTTCCCTTGCAATTATGGTTTTTACCATAACTAGAAGAAATGCAGTAGATAGAGTGGCATGTTAATATGTTACTTTTATTTTAATGAATAGGGAAATACCGTTGCCGCTATGGGCTCATTTAAAGGTTTAAAGCAAGTTAGAAGGATAGTGGAAGACTGCATTCAGAATAAAATGCATCCTGTTTACCACATCAAGGTAAATATCTTAGTCTTTATTTTTTTTTCTATCTTTTTACTCTGTATACTCACTCACCCTCTGTTTTCTGTATGTAGATTCTAATGATGAAGAAGGAGCTTGAAAAGGATCCTGCTCTTGCAAATGAGAACTGGGATAGGTTCCTTCCAAAATTCAAGAAGTACCGTATCTTCTTCTTTTGTATATGATTTATGAATGCCCGTATTAATTGTTTTAAGCGTACATTCTGCATTTCACTTATATTCTCTCACGACTCTTGAAATATTCGGCTTTTTGTTTTGCTCTTCAGGAAAAATGTTAAGCAAAAGAAAGTTAAGAGTAAGGAGAAGAAACCATATACACCATTCCCTCCTCCTCAACAACCTAGTAAGGTGCGTAGTTGCCAATAATAGATTCTTGAAAGAGTTTGAAGACATGGTTCTGTTGGATATGTTTTTTCAATGTTAGGTGTAACCACTAAAGGCAATGTTCTAACTTGATTTGGATACCTGGATTTTAATATCTGAAAGAGGATAGTTCATGAATAGGTCATTTTAATTTCTTTTTGGATGAGCAATTGCACGTCATGAGCATTCTTGGTAGTTGCTTCGCTGTGTTTCTCTCTCTCTCTCTCTTCATGTTGATCCCTTGTGCCACTGTTTAATTTAGGAGACTTTTCCCCCTTTTTATGGACCAGTTAGGATGATTATTTGGCGGGATATTCCCACTTTGGAAGTCTATTTTTGATTTGGTCGTTTTATATCTACTCGTGCAATATTTGTTCGTCTTTCTGATTGTGCACAGACTTTCATTTGTGTAATACATATTAACCTTTTATCTTCAATGGAGTTGTTTCTTTATTGTAATGGATTAACGTCAATCACTTCATCTTTGAATATACAGATTGATATTCAATTGGAAACTGGAGAATACTTCTTGAGTGACAAAACGAAATCAGCGAAGAAGTGGCAGGAAAAGCAGGAGAAGCAAGCAGAAAAGACTGCTGAAAACAAAAGAAAACGAGAAGCTGCATTTGTTCCTCCTGAGGTCCAAAACTTTGTTTTTTGTCCCAGATGTTTGTTAAGTTATTTACCCTTCTTTTTAAGCACTAACAAGTAACAAGAATTTATAAATATGGTGTCCGTTTCAGGAGCCTGTAAAGCAGGATAGGAATGTGAAAAATGATGCGGAAGATGTGGCTGCTATGGCCAAGTCTTTAAAGGTTCTTTTTTTTTTTTTAAGAAAAACTTTATTGATAAAAATCAATAACAAGGTCAGAGGATAGGGTATCCTTAAAAACCAAGGTAAACAAAAATGGCCTAGAGCTGACCAAAATACAAAAAGAACAAAACACAACTTGAGTAATCAGATTCTTCAAATTGGTTTTTCCCCTTAAATTCTGTTAGAAAAAAGCGAAGATGTCATTTTTACTTGTGCTGGTGCTCTTCTGACTGCATCAATGGTTATATAATGCAGAAAAAAGCAAAGGAGTTTGGGAAACAAAAAATGGATGAGACAGTCAATGCCGAAGCATACCTCGCTGAAACCGGAGAAAAACCTCCAAAAAAGAAGTCCAAGCATAGGCAGGGTTAAATGTACGTTAAATGTATTAATTTTGAAATGTAGGGAACAAAAGCGGCATGTTATTTTGGTTAGGTGTTGCCTTTACGTTTCACTAACAAAGACATGGTAAAATTCACTTCGCCATGGTCTTGAGATGTTAGGGAACAATGCCATAATCCTACTGTAAATCCTTTATTAATCAAACTTATAAGTAATTGAAATTTTTGTTAATTTTTGCTATACGCATGAGCACAAGGTGTGCCCAGCATGTAATGCCCCTTATTGGGTAGTTGCATCTGGTATCAAACGATGTACATTATTATTTACAAACCTGGTTTTGCTTCAGTTCTGAATACAATGCAATTTTCTGCTGACTTTTTTCTGTCGTGAAATTATATGTTTGGTACTTAGATTCGTTCCCTGATTCGAATCATGATTCGTGATTCGCTACAATATTTTCTCTTACAAAAAATACACGTAAATAAAAAATAGTTATAATCACATGGTTTTAATCCATGAACTAAACGTCTTAAATCTTATTGGTTCATTTTTAATACATTATATATTTATGCTATAAAAAGAGTGAAGGTGAAGTCCACAGCTTCCCTACTTTCATTATGAAATTAGACTTTATTCAAATGTTTGACTCTTGTTGACTTTGACTTTATAGTAGATTAAAATTCTACTGCTAATACAAGTCCATAAGCACATTCAAAGTAACAAATACGTTTTAAGAAACATCTTTCACTTAGTGACGTACAATGAAAAAATCACATGCACAATTTTGGGCAACATGAGGAAATAGTTTTGTTCGTGATATAGACATAAAAAAACTACTGTACTTATAGGAGTTCTGCTAAGGTCACGGCTTTCGAGTCTCGGGAAATCTTGCTTTCTTGATCGCCTATTGGTCTTATCATATAAATTCTCGATCATTAGATTTACAATCTAAGATTAGTAATTGAAACACAATTTGATTCTGAATTCGTGGTTTTGTAAATGTAATTTTCTTAAAGTGCGTATGTTGTTTCTAAAATCCTTAAAGAGATCTACGATTTCATGTTTGGTATCCAGACCGAAATATCACCTATATCATCAATGTGCACCAAACTCGTGCACTTTTTACCTTTAATCATATTTTAGACTTGTTTCAAAAATCAACCCAAAACTGATGTCTAAGGTCGTTTTTGAGAAAAACGTTATTTCACAAAAGTTGTTTGGAACGAAATTTTCTTCAACTTGGTGTTGGTCACTTTTTGAAACTAAGCTTTTATCTTATTTTTCTAGCCCAAAACAGCACCAGATTCAATTTCCTGGTCAATAACCTAATTTTCGGTTTTGGTCCGAAATTGAGACTTATTTTACACATCTTAATCTTACTATTCTTTATGAAACCGGTTTTAGTTCAAATTCTCAAACTAAATTTTGACGGAATTTCGCCTAAATTTTGGGTTTCCCGAGCTAACCATAACTCGTTTTATCCGTAATTCCATCTTTCAAACACATCACATAATCATTTTCATTCCTTTTTATCATCATAAACATCAAAATCTCTAGGGTTCTTTCACTATTCTCACAAGATTTCATCATAAACATAAATGCTAAAACATAATCCAATAACCAAAAATTTAACTTCTAAACATTCGGTTTTTCGGTACCATTCATAACCATAAACCAATAATCATTCTTAGCAAAATTTTTCCATGTTCTTTACTATTCATATACGTGCAACCATGGTAGAAAAGAAGGTGAGAAATTTTAATTTTACCTTAGAAAAATGAAGAGACAACCACAGAGACACTAATCCACGGTGGTTTTTGTCAGTTCTCGCTTAGAACTCGTTTTCTCTCACTTTGGGTGAATTTTTTTTCTTCTCTCTTTGGCTGATGCTCTCTGGTTTTTGGCATGAAAATGAGATTGTCAATTTGATATGTTGTTGATTTTGGATAACTGATAATAATAATCTTTGTAATTTTAACGTAAGGATTTAATTTATTCGATCTTTTTATTTTGTGAATCAAAACTTGAATTGGTAAAGGAAGCATTAGAGATTCTCGACACCTTACTATTTTTACTACTGAATTTCCTTCATACAACCAGAACAAATATGAATTCCATTCTTAGATAAAGAAATAGAGTCAATATCAAAAGAAACTGAAACAAATTGTTCATACAATCTAGAAACCGAAAGCAAATTTCGTTTGAAATTTAGAATAAAATAAACATTGTCTAACAATGAATATTTATTATTTGTAAAAGACAGTCGCGCTGTCTCTACTGCTGTCGTTGAGATCCTTGCCCCATTGCCCACTCTCATCTGGAAAGATCCCTCTTTAAGATCCTTGGAAGTTTTCAGCATCTACAAAGAAGTACAAACATGGTTATACACCCCTGAATTAACTATTCAGGTAGAGAAATCATTCTCAACTAAACATGTTTCCATGACCAGTAAATCTGATTTACATTGCTTCTTCTTTTTTAGTTTATCGAGGTACTTTTTGCAATTCCTCTTCCAGTGGAAACATTTTTCCTTAGGCTTTGGAGTGGCCTTGTTCTGCTTGTTCTTCGGGGTCTTCTTTTTCCCTTTGCCTTTTTGAAGAAGAAGGTCTTCCCTCTACTGCATTAGCTTCGGCAACATTTTCCTTGCCTCCCTTATCACCTATAAGGGACTCAAATTGTTGCAGCTCATTCAGGAGCTCAGTCAAGTTGTCATTCTTTTGGTTCATTAGATAACTTGTCCTGAATGGAAGAAAATTAGGAGAAAGTGTCTCCATTATCATGCCAACCTAGGTTTTCTCATCAATTTGAGACCCATTAATTTCAGTCTCATTAAGAAGATTAATCATCTTAAGCACATGCTCACGTACAGAAGAACCATTCTTTATACAGCCGTTCATAACGGCTTCGACAGCAGCATGTCGGGCTGAATATGATGGATGTCTAAACATCATCTGAAGAGAGTCCATGATCTCTCTAGCAGTCGCAAGGCCTTCGTGCCGAGTTCTCAACACTTCATTTATTGCTGCTAATAGGTAGCAGCGGTTGCTCAGTCACAACTCTGGCTGAAGACTTGGGTTTTCTAAGAAAGTTTTAGAGCAAGGATCGTTCGTTGGCCAAAGACTCAAAGTTATCATCCTAATCGTTGGCAAGGCATCTATTGTTATAAATTAATGAGATTAATTTATTATTGCATAAATTAATAAAATCTATAGCGTCCGTAAAAGTTTTTTGAACATTTTTATTCGGACCCGATCCGCATTACCACACTTCCGCACCCGAATTTGATTTGGAAACCAACATAACTCACCCCAAATTGAAGTAATATAGCAAATACATAACTATTTTCATACAGTCATGAACTCTCAAACTTGATAATAAAAGTCCAAATAGGAAGAAAAGTAGTTTACAAGACATACATTTGCCTTCCAACTGATCAACACGTAATGGATAATCGAGACTATTTAAAACACAACCAGATCTATTATTTCTTCTTCCTTTCGATAATGTTACTTTTCTTTTTTACAATCTAGTAAAAGATTTAGGGCTTGTTCGGTTGCATTTTTAGAGTTATGGTGATTTGAGTGTAGATCTTGAGTTGAATTTGAGTTATAAT